CACCAACGGGGACAGGGACACCCACGGGGACACGGCTGCCACCAGCAACGGGGACACGGCTGCCACCAACGGGGACAGGGACACCAACGGCGCCTGGCAGGGACAGCGGCTTGGGGACATCGCCGAGAGCCACCAGCTTGGGGACATTGATCAAAGCCACCGGCTTGGGGACATCACTCAGGGCCACCAGCTTGGGGACATTGTTGAGAGCCACCAGCCTGGGGACATTGATCAAAGCCACCGGCTTGGGGACATCGGTCAAAGCCACCAGCTTGGGGACATTGGTCAAGGCCACCAGCTTGGGGACATCAGGCAGGGACAGCGGCTTGGGGACATCGGTCAAGGCCACCAGCTTGGGGACATCAGTCAAAGCCACCAGCTTGGGGACATCGCTCAGGGCCACCAGCTTGGAAACGCCCAAGGCCACCGCCTTGGGGACATCGGCCAAGGCCACCGCCTCGGGGACGTGTCCCAGGGCCACCACCACGTCAGGAACGCGCAGGGCCACCACCTCGGGGACATTGATCAAAGCCACCAGCCTGGGGACATCGCTCAGGGCCACCGGCTCGGTGCCACCGCCCCCAACGGCCATGGGGACGCCTTGGGGACACCTTGGGGACATCCCAAGCGGCCGGGGGAGGGGACGGAGCCGGGGACGAAGAGGCCACGGCTGGAGCTGGACACGGGGGACAGCGGGTGAGGACACGGGGACAGCGGGGACCGTGGGGACAACGGGGACACTGGGGACATTGGGGACAATGGGGACATCGGGGGCACTGAGGGATTGGGGACATTGAGGGGACTGGGGACATTGGGGACACTCAGGGGACATTGGAGGCATTGGGGACACTGGGGACATTGGGGACATTGGGGGATATTGGGGACACTGGGGACATTGGGGACATCAGGGACACTTGGGGACATTGGGGACACTTGAGGACACGGGGACAGCGGGGACACTGGGGACACTTGGGGACAATGGGGACATTGGGGACAGCAGGTGAAGACACGGGGACAATGGGGACACTGAGGGACTGGGGACAATTGGAGACAATGGGGGGACATTGGGGACATCGGGGACAT